TTTGATGAGGTGTGTAATATTGAGGAGGAGGAGTGTAAGGAGGGTATGGCGTATATGGTGAAAATTCCATGGAGGTTTGGGGAAAAGGACTTCCTCCAGGAATTTGGCTGAATGGGTTCATCTCATGCCTCTTTGAAAAAAACCTGAAAGGTTAGCACAGAAAATCCTACGAAGAACAAAAAGAAAACTAACTAAAAAAAATTCTCGCTGAAATTAATTAACCCTTAAAACCGACACCGTCCCCGACAACGGCGCCAAAAACTGATGTGAGTTTTCTCGCACTTAAAATAGATGGTGATATAGTGGTGTAAGTACGAGTATCGTCTCCACAGGGACGGACAAAAGGGAATCAAGAATTAATTAAATTCAGCGATTAAAAAGAAAATAAAATAAAAGCGTCGTGCGAGATTGGTTGGTTTGGAAAATAAAACTAATGCGAACAATTAAACTAGGGGGTTCTTTCTAATTAATGACGAAGGGAACAGGGATCGATTCCGGGGTAACCAGATTTCTGGCAGATCAGGCCTAATTACATGAAATTAATTTAATTGACCCTAGCTAATCATTACTAAGTTCTTACCGCTCTCGCGGCGTAGAGTACAATAATTTAGGGGACCAGGCTGATCTCTCATGCGACAGGATCCTAAATTATCGCCAAAACGAGCGAGCTTACGGCCCCTTAATCGCTACTAATCTCTTAGCGAACGATTAAGTGTGTGTGAATGTGTCCTAAAAACAAATTAGATCTCTCTTAATTCATTCTACAAGCAATTGTAATTCTAGCTGCAGTCTAGGTTACAAGAGATATCAATTAAATTATTCAAACACAAATTAAACAGCATTCATGCAATTAAACCGAAAAGAATCTAGCCATACATCATGATTAACCCCTTCATCAATCTCAATCCCTAATTAAACTACTCACAATTCATAATTGAAGAATCAATAGAATTGGGAAGAATAGAATTAATTGTCATTAATTACAAAGATGGAACTTACAAAGAATACCAAAAGATTGATCAACAAGGCTGAAAAACCCTCTAAAATTCGTGCTAGGCACTCTCTCTAAGCCCCCCCTTGAAAACAGGGGTTTACAGGTTGTTTAAATAGAAAAATCGGGTGAAATTTGAGCTGAATTAGGATTTTCGGAGCCAGACACGATGCCAGGCACGATCGTGCCTTCGATCGTGCCTCCGGAGCAAAAACGCGCATTTTGGGCAGGCACGATCGTGCCTGGCAGGCAGTAACTTCGCGGTGCTTTTCTCTTCAGGCACGATCGTGTCTGACTTTGAGGGCACGATCGTGCCTATTTAACTTCCGAATTTGACAAAACTGCCTTCATGAAAGTTGTAGATAATGAAGTCCTCTATCCACCCCAATTTTCCGAATGTGATTTGAATCATCCAATCAAGAGATATGATCAAAACGGTGGAAGGTGTCTTTCTGAAATCGCAGCAGCGATCATCTGACTTCATCGTCTGTTTTCACCTTCTTCCTCTCAGATTCTCGCAAAGGTGTCGTCATATGATTTGTAGCCCTTGAAGTTGGCTTTCCTATGGAACTTGAATCGTGTACATTGGATGTTTGTACAAAGAGATATGCTTGACGATTGACAGAAGGTCATTCTGATCGTTGTTTTCAAGCTTCATTCATCTTCTTTTGACCCCGTAGCCAATCCTAGAGCTCTTTTTCCTTCAAATCTTCATCGTGAATCTTCCGGTGACCTCCAAAGCTCTCAAATCAATATCAAATGCTTCTCAACTCATCCCAATTTCTCCTCAAGCGCCAGTGCCGAACTCTAAAATCCTTATTTTGACTCCAAATGACACAAAACTCGAACCAACGCCTGTTAAACATAACTTGAGCTAAAATTAAGACTTGCAACACCTTAAATCTAGGAAAACCATCAAAATACAACCCCAACACGCATCAAATGTGTGTCTAAATACGGACTTATCAATCCCCGAGCCTTGTCGCTTCCTCTTGATCCATTTGAACGAGCTCAGCATGGTCCCCATCTCCCTAGGAATGTCCACCCACGTTCTGACTCTATGCCAAACTTTACCTGAAAAGGCACAAGTAAAAAATAGGTGTGGTACCATTTCCGGACCACCTTTACAAAGGGGGCAAACATTAACAACATCTAATCTATGCAAGTTATCAAGAGTGGCAAGGCGGTTACGAAAGGCTAGCCAAACCGTGAAGGAGAATTTAGGGGGGATATAATTCTTCCAAATGAAAGACATCCACATTTGGGTTCCCCCCCTTAACTCTAAGAAGGTTGTAAACCAAACCCGAGGATAACTTGCCATTTGTTTGGCAAGTATTGAGAAAGCTAATGGCATCGTGGGTGTTGTCAAAGTGAGAGACAATTTGATCTCTAATCAGAGCAATCTTTTTGATCAATTAGGAGTCTCTTTTATAAGGTGTAAACTCCCAAACACCTCTACCGTTAAGGTAGACACCATGAATCCACCTAACCTAGAGATTATCCTTTTAGTATGGATATCCCAGAGGGTTTTAGCAAGGAGGGTAGAGTTCCAAACATAGGTATCATGAATACCAAGTCCACCTTCCTCTTTAGGGAGGCAGATATCAGCCCACACCACTCTAGCATACTTGCACACCCAAAGGAAGATATGACAGATAGAAGTGATTCTATCAAGTACCGCCCTAGGGATTGGGAGAGCTTGTAGCGAGAAAGAATGGACACCTTGAATAACAGACTTGATCAGTTCGACTCTACCAGCATAAGAGAGGGTTTTGGTATTCCAAGCACTGATAAAACTGGTAATCGAATCCAACAAAGGAGCATATTGAGCCACAGAGATTTTAAGAGGGGCTAAAGGGATGCCCAAATATCTGACAGGGAAGGATCCCTCTTTAAAATCGATCATGTTCAAAATATAAGTGAGGTCATGATCGGCCAAGCCACCAAGAAAGATATTAGACTTGTCAAAGTTAACTTTAAGGCCAGAAACACTTCCAAAATCATTCGAAGCATCAATAAGGACTTTAATAGAGGGAAAATCCCCTTTAGAAAAGAGCATAAGATCGTCAGCGTAGGCAACATGAGAGATGTTCATAAGTGAATCATAAGGTGTGCTTCCTTTGTTGATGTTCATAAGGTGTGTGTGTGGTGGTGAAATCTTCATTGGGTGTTAATTGTTGTCTGTCAATGAAATTGTGTCTATGAAATAGTCTAATTCCTATGTTCATGTTTCACATTGTCTGTGTGGTGGAGCAAAGTTGATTTGGTGTTAATTGGTGTCTGTGCATGATATAGTTGTCTGTGTGGTGGTGTGAAGTTGATTTGGAGTGTTATTTATTGTCTGTGAATCAATTTGTGTGTATTATATAGTGTAGTTCCTTTGTAAACGTTTATAAGTTGTTTGTGTGCTTTATTTTGTACTATATTATTGTCTGTGTATTACATTATTGTCTATGAATCAAATTAGGAGTGTTATTTATTGTGTGTTTGTAATGTTTTGGTCTATGAAGGTCTATTTTTGTCTGTCTGCCATAAGTTTATTTATGTTTGTCCAACTGCCAGGGCCCTGAAGTTACGCATTCCAAGTCATGAATATTTCCCTGTGCAGTATTCCGTATGTTCAGACTTCAGAAATGCAGCAAAGTGGGTACTAAACAAATTATCTCCAACACAAATGGAAAGGTTTCGCGATTTACCAAGGTATATATGTGCCCACACATATAGTATAGGGGTATATTTGTTCCATTTCCCAAAAAACAATAGGTAATCTATGGCCTTAGTTAGCTAAAAAATTGCGCCAGTCGGTTTCCTTCACGATAAATATAAATATGCTCAACTTTAACAGTTTGATTTTGATCTAATAGCTCGCGAAATTGCGACCTCATAAGAATTGTGGTGTGCGCGCTCACCTTCCACATTCAAAAGCCAAATTGCCTGTGAATCCAATTGCACTCGTACTTGGCGAGACCCAAATTACCAAGCAAATTAATCTTTGTTCATATACAATAATTACTTGTGTAACTAATTTATAAAATTTGAAGATAGATTTCTTCACAAAGCATAAGCCTTTTGTGATACAATTTCACATAAAGTGATGATTGTATTGTGACCTACCCAAATACCCAATGTATATAAACGTGTAAATCGCACGGAGTATACAAATGTCACTTTCTTAAAAATATAACAAAACCTTAAGCAAATGAAAATAGACCCTCAATTGATCGCCATGTACACATTATATTGCTTTCCTCAATAAAACACCTTTGTGTGTAGTCCCCACATACAAGGTTTCCTTGATCTTTAAAGAACACATACCCGTAGTATATTTGAACGTTCAACATATTACATATACCATATTTTCAATCATTAATATTACAATTAAAACCAAATTATATTATATTGAAACAAATGAGATAGTAGGAATCGGATGATTTAATTTAATTTCCATCTCAAGGAACATGACCCTATATATGGATTATAGGTGTTCATCGGTTCAATTTTAAAAAAGGTAAAATAGCAAATCTAAAATGACACTTATTTTCGACCATATATATATGTTTAAGGCAGTTTTGATCAAACTTTGATTATTAATCCTCAAGTCATATTTAAAAAAAAAAAATCCTCAAGTCATGAACCGAACTGTTGATGGGTTGATAAGTTTTCATCGGGTTTGGTTTTCACCGATTCAATTCTTATCGATCCGACTCCGTTCAGTTTGTCGATCAGATGGTTTCTATTTCGGATTTTTTTTTTGTTTAACCCTAATACTAGTAATAATTAATGAGTATGTACACTCCTTTATATTTTACGGAGTAAATTTATATCCATGTCACCAGAGGTAAAGAGTTTTATGAAATTCTTGGAGGGAAGCTAAGATGTTGAATTTGAGTGAAAATTTGAGCAAGAAAAGGAGTTTTAGTCGAATGAGTCCAAATTGGTATAAAGGAGGCCATGGTATCATTTTCAATCACAAAGTTCACAACCAAACAAAGGGATATAGTTGGAATTATGCACACTAAAAAATGGTAGGGAGTAGCATCTATCACCACACTTAGCTACTACACAATTCACCAGTCATCACAAGATGTTAGTTGTTCATTTGAACAAGCAATTCTAGCTTCTTTCCAACAAGTTAGAAAGAAAACATTTGCCTTTTCTTTTCCTCCATTCATTATCATCAACTTAATTGGAGCCAGCTCCAATTGGTTCATGGATATTGATCACCCTACTAAGACCATTGGGGGGTTGTTTAATATTTTTAGTTGTGGGATTTTCTTGGAGATTAAATTACTATTCTTATTATTACTACCTTTTTGTTATGGCAAAATCACAAGCTCTTCTCCTCCTTATCCTCGGGCCGCTCTTGATTACTTCCATAGTTTTCGTCCGCCGCCATGGAGAGCTTTCCCGGCCACCGGAGGCGACCATCCCGGCAATGGGAAGGAAAACCGGCCAAATGAAGTCTCCAAGAAGCCGACGATACTCGTCCACCATCACAATTAGAGGTCACCATTCAAGCATCATGGTCTTCAATGTTTCATTTCATGGCGTTCCCACCGGTGCAAATCCTATTAATAACAAGTAACTCAGCTTATTGAATTATTATTATATTACTAGTATTATATTATTATTATTATAATATGATAATAATAATGTGATAACGTACCTACCATTCATTTGATTGGACCACATCACTTTATCATTTTTAATTTATATTTAAATAATTCAACTTCAACATTCTCATTGGTCCAAGTGGATAAAGGTATGATACCTTATGGGTACCATAAAATCTACCTTATTATTACTACTACCTCCATCCCTAAATACTTTGCCATCTTTGACTTTTCAAGTTAATGATGGTAAAGTTTGGACTATGATTTTGATTAGTATACTATATATTATGAAAGTGATAGATTTTATACTTTTATGAAAGTACTTTTAACAAAAAATAATTTGATATAATTTTTGTATTATAAATAATTTCTTATAAAAATATATAATTGGTTAAAGTTGACATGTTTGACCGAAATATTCAAAGATGACAAAGTAAAAAGGGACGGAGGGAGTATTATTATTTTATTATGAGAAAAGGGTCAAATAAGGGCTTCTCCTATTACGAAATAGTCACATAAGGCCACGTACTCAATAAAGTGTCATATAAATACCTCTACTTGTAAAAAACAATCAAATAGGTCCTAATGACCTATTTAACACCTCTTAATCCCGGTTTTAGCGTACTTCTGACCATCTTTTTAGAATAGATTATCCGGCATACGTCGAATATTTAACTAAGATTGGTTGAAATACAAGTCAAAAAAATCGACATATAAGCTAAAACCGGGATTAGGAGGTTGTAAATAGACCGTTAGGACTCATTTGATTGTTTTTTACAAGTAGAGGTACTTATATGACACTTTATTGAGTACATGACCTTAATTATGTGACTATTTCATAATAGTAGAAGGCCTTATTTGACCCTTTTCTCTTTTATTATTATTATTATTATTATAAAGTATTATTATTGTTGTCGTAAGCTTTATATACTTACATCCAGTGGCGTATCTAGAGTGGGGGAAGGGGGGCAGCTGCCCCCACTCAACGTCACCCAACCCCATATATACATATTTAAAAAATTAAATATACATACTCCCTCCGTCCCATTTTATGTGTCTTATTTTGACTCGGCACGGTTATTAATGAAGTGCTTAAAAAAGTAAAAGTTGTGGTCGAGATTTGAGTTTAATAAAGTGAAATGGCGTAAACCACATATTTCCTTCCAAAAAAGGAAAGGAGACACTTATTTTGGGACAACCCAAAAAGGAAAGTAAAACAGGTAAAAGGGGACGGAAGGAGTATATTTTTGTGCTTACGATAAGTAACTTATACATTATGGACACGACTTTTGCATAAGGATCAATTTGGTGCAATGGATAGAGGTGTACATGCGTGCATTGTAGTTGTCTGTGTAGTTGGGGGGTCGATTCCCCTGCTTTTCCATTTTGCTCCAAACTTTTTTTATCCTTTCTTATCTTTCTTGTATCCTTTCTTAAAGTTTTAATCAAATTTAAAGTGACTCAGTATATATTTATACATTTATAGAGTTAAATTAGAGAACTCTTCTTGTCAGACCGGCCTGACGGGAACCTCTGTCCGGCCGAGCCCGTTTGGGCACCTTCCCGGTGGATTTTTTTGATAAAATTTTTTGAGCATGTTCCTCATCAAGTCTAGTTTGTCCATACCAAATTTCAGCTCAAAATTCGATCGGGAAGGCATTCAAATCTTTTTTTGAAGTTGACTGCGTCAAAATATACATATAAAAATGCAGTCAACTTCAAAAAAAGATTTGAATGCCTTCCCGATCGAATTTTGAGCTGAAATTTGGTATGGACAAACTAGACTTGATGAGGAACATGCTAAAAAAAATTCATTAAAAAATTCCACCGGGAAGGTCACCAAAAGGGCTCGGCCGGACGGCTCTCCCGGTCAGGCCGGCCTGACATGATGATTTCTCGTTAAATTACACTTGATTCATTTAGAGTTAAACTATACTCTAACAATGGGACAAGAGGGAGTGACACATAAATTAATAAAAAATGGTTTATGTGGTTGATAAAGTAAGAATGATTTAGACCAACACAAACTTTGCCAAATTTGGTATGGGACAATCTTAGTGGGACAGACCGAAATGGTAAAACGGGACAATTTTAGCGGGACAGAGGTAGTACTTCATTACATTTTACACTTAATATAAATTCTTTTTTAGATAAAATTCGGCATTGACAATTTATACTAATTCTAAAAATTTATTTATTTATTAACATAACATGAAAAAATTACAAATTTTGTGTCAAATTTATTTCTCACATAGTGAAATTTGTTAAGTATGATGTCATGTTTTTTCGTTGACGGCTAGTTTTTATTTATAATGAATTTTGTATTATTTTTGTTAAATTGTTCATGTATTTGTGACTTGCGTGAAATAATATATACTCCTTTCGTTTCGGTAAATTTTTCCTGGTTTGATTTGGATTTGAGTTTAACAAAGTAAAAATATATGATCTCTGATTAAGTAAGAAAAATGTAAATGAATTTTAATCACACAAAATTTTCTAAAAGAGAAAATGAGAAGAAGTTTTTGGACATCCCAACAAAAAAATGGAAAGAATTTTATGAGTCAGAGAGACTAGAATGAATTCGCCCCACGCACTTCAAATCCTGGATACGACACTGGTTACATCCGATACATATATGTGTGTCAAATTTTGACCACTATAGATTGCACCATTTAATTTCATGTCCAATGATCGATCGGTGTTTAATTTCTTATATCTACAATTTTGTAAGGAGTATTTGTTACTGTGTAATAGCTCATCATATATGGATGATCCAATGACATGAACAATTAATGTCATGAGTTAATTATCAAAATAGGACTAAAAGTCATTCACTTTGCACAAATAGGACCAAAAAATAAACTATGTTTCCACAGGACTAATTATGTTTGTCTTGGACAAATATACCCTTATACCTATTCGAATGTTTTAATTCATAATAAAATAATAAAAAATAATAAAAATTCGTAAAATATACCAAAAAATTAATAAAAATATTCTGAATAATAATAAATTTAAAAAAAAAATTTAAAAAAAAAATAAAAAATAAAAAAAATAAAAAAAATTAAAAAAAAAATCAAAAAAATATTTTTTTTGTCACCGCCTCCTATACCGCCCCAGCACCACCACCTCTAGTCATTTGGGGAAAAAATGCCAAATTTATTATGAATTCCATATTTTTGGCATAATTCAGAATGATTTAAGATGGAAGAAAAAAAATGTTGGCATTCTCAAAGAGAAATATGCCATATTTTTGGCATTTTCCAAAAAAATGGAAGTTTGTAGGAAAATATGACATTTTTTTTTAACGGTCGGAGGTGGTGGTGCAGGGAGGCGGTACCACCACCTCCTGTCACCGAGGTAAAAAAATGCCAAAAAAATTATGAATGCCATATTTTTGGCAAAAGTCAAAAGGATTCAAGTTGGCAGAATGAAAATGTTGGCATTCTCATAGAGAAATATGCCATTTTTGTGGAATTTAAAAAAAAAGTGGCATTTTTTACACCGATCGGAGGTGGTGGTTCAGGGAGGTAGTACAGGCGGTGGGAAACGTATCCATATTTTTTTAATTTTTTTTATGGAGTTTTACTATTTTTTTATTAAATTTTTTTTTTTAAAAAAAAATTAAAAAAATTTTTTTTTTCTTATTTTTTATTTTATAAAAATTTTATTAATTTTTTTATTATTTTTCTTCGAATTATTGAAATTTTTTCGAATTTATTATGAATTAAACATTTAATTATGACTTTTAACTATCTTTTACTAATATTTAAAGGAGGGGTTAGAATGGAAGGAAGAAATGAGTATGTTTCCAATAGGACCACTATGGTCCTTTTTTGAAAAAAAAACATAGCAAGTCCTATTTTGAGTTTTTGCCATAGTTTTAGTCCTATTTGAAGTAATTTCCCTTAATGTCATGGTTTATTTGTAATGGAAATTATATTTATTACCATAATCAATTAATCAGTGTCATATCATTACCACCATTATAATTCGTTCTTTATTAGTGTAAAAGTTTAATTTTTACGCTGTGCAAAAATATCTTTTAACCATTTTGTGTTGATTATAAGTTTATTAAAAATTATATAATAAAATATGTTCTTAAATTTTTCTTCATGTAAATTTGAAATTATAGAGTAATTCCTTTTAGTTACTTCGTTCATCCCATTATAATTGTCTCATTTTCCCTTTTCTGTCAGTCTCACCATATATGCCACATATCATATTTGGTGATATTTGTGTGGCTCGAATTCATTGTTATTTTATTTTCAAAAAACATTAGTCTAATTTCTTAAAAACCGCATCATTCTTCTTTGTCCCATCTTAGAGGGCGAGAGTAGTATTGAGATATTATTATATTAATTATTAAATAAGTTTTATTATTGTATGGGACATTTCCTTGTAGTATCATCCCAACATTATTATCACCCATGCAAGGCCCACTCACCTCTTTCCTCCCATTGTATTGTAATATCTATATATATCCATGCATATGAATACATAATAGGCAAGTGAGGAGAATTTCTCCCAATGGAGCTCACTGCATATTCTTTGTTTCACAATTATTATTCTTAAATTTAACAAGTAGTATAACTTATAATTTATATAAAGTGATTGAAGCGACGTAATGGTGAAACTATGTACCTAAATTAATAAAGATTCCACGGAGTATATGACTGTATGTATACATATGATGTTTTTAATTGGATTGCAATTTTCTGGTCGAGTCTGGTCTCGTTTGGTTAATTGATCTAGTCTGGTCTGATTTACACTGGTCTGATTCGTTCTGATCTGGTAATATCTAATCTCTCTGTATTTTATAATTATCTAAGTTTGATCAAGTATGATATGTTTTGATTTGATCTGATTTGGTCTTGTTTGTGATGGTTGTAAATCCATATCGCTCACTAACTATAGTTAGATTTGGAGTTTCAACTACAAACGCTAATGAAGGGAGAAATTTAGAGAACAAAATAAGCTGAAGAAAATACAAGCGCTGAAGAGTGAAGAAGACAAATAAAAACTCGTTTGCTCAAATTGGTAGAGCCCAATAAAATGTCCGCCATCTCCGTAAATGCAATAGGAAATCCAAACTCAACATCTGGAATGACCAAGAGTGTTCAAAGCCAAGTTCCCTATCTCTTGCCGAAGACAGAAGTCACCCTTCGCAATATCCAACATAACCAATCAAAGTAGCAATAAAAAACCCGATCATGATTCATAAGCCCTCAATAGAAGGAATATAATATGTTTATGTTGTTAATTCATTGGTTTGTTATTTCACTACTTTTATCAATGCAAGATGAATTCAATTGAACTTTAACAAAATCAATATAATTAATTGTTCATATAATTAAGGGATAATTTGAGTTTGCAACCCATTTTATTGTTCAAATTGGACTTTGCACCCCATTTTTAAAACTTTTTGTTTTTGCACCCCAAACCTATATGAAAAGACAAAAATGCTGTCAATCAAGAATATGTTGAAGGCCAACATAATTGTTAATGGAGGGGCATTTTTATCTTTTCATATGGAGTTGGGGTGCAAAAACAAAGTTTTTTTTTATAACGGTGTGCAAAGTCCAATTTGCACAATAAAACGGGGTGCAAACTAAAAATACCCCTATAATTAATTGTTCGTTTCAAAATGCAATTTTTGCATGATATCATATGTAAAGTGATTTTCAACATACTAGTTACTCCACCCGTGCATTGCACGGAAGTAAAGCAGTTACATACGTATTTAGATAAATTATGTAAGAAATTAGGAAAAAGTTGACAGGGAATCAATTAATTAAAAATAAATGTAAAATAAGAAGTCATGTACTCATGTTTAATCTGAAATTAAATATAGGTGTGCATGTTGGTCCACGGAATTGTCAAAAATATTATAAATTATTATAAATTTCTTTGAAATGGAAAAGCTTAGCTCAGGGAAAAGGACCGATTGCTCTTTGTGGGTGCTATACCGAGGCTTGAGGTGTGAGGCACCGATGGCTTCGAACTGTGAGGGCGATTTTATGAATAAATTGTCGGGTGTGTTTCGGAAAATAAAGAAAAATTAATTAAAATAAATTAATTAAATAAAATGACGAAAGAAAACAAGAAAAGAGATGGAGCAGAATTTGTCAAAGCTCGTGCTACGCACGATGTCCTTAAAACGTATTTGTTGCCTCCCACGGTGCTAGGAGCGTTGCAACAATAGTTTCCCAGGATACGATGACAACGAACTAATGTTTGAGCACACAAACAAGAGTTCCAACGAACGTGAACAAAGTATGAACACTCAGGGGAATTTTTCGGAATGCTAGCAGTGTGTTTTTAGAGCTAAAACGTGTATGGATTCGTGTAAAATCGTGTAAGAACGTGTGTTGTTGCAAACCACCTGCCAGCCATTATATAGGAGGATTTGTTGTATGAAAATAGTGAATTAATGGACCTGAACGTTGGACATCAATGACCAGTCCGTTGGGCATTGAATCGCCCATGAACTGTCCATTTAACGCTGCATTAAAAGATAAGAACGTTGGGATTAATTGTTGTAACGATTCAGAAGTGCGAGAGAAGACCTCCATCAGAACTCCCCGGGAGGGGTTCTGATCGGAGGCCAACTCTGATCCGCGGCCATCAGAGTACCCCCAACTCTGATGGGCGGCCATCAGAGTACCCCCAACTCTGATGGGTGGCCATCAGAATACCAACGAGAGGGGTTCTGCCATCAGAAGACCATCGAGGTGTTCTGATCCGAGCACTTCTGCCGCCGGGAAAAAATTAAACGTTTCGGGAAGAAAACAAAAATTAATCGTATCTCTTGAGAGATAGATTTTTTGGACAACATTCGTGTCCGCAGGTCGCCCGCGCACGCAAGTCGCGGTGTTTCTTCTCCGATTTCGGGATTTGATTTGCACCCCCCCTGCGCGCGTGGAGAGAGCCTCTACCCTAAGGAATCTTAACTCCTTAAGGGGGGAGTCCCTTTATAAAGGGTTGCAAATCCCTTGGGTTTTCCGGTGTGGGAAATTAACACTAGAAACTCATCCTTTTTCCCAGTTTTTCCATTCTAACGGGTAAACTTCGAAAAGCGATTTCTCATTCACCCGTTATCCGTTTTGAGCGTACCATATATCGAATTGTAGCCCTTAACAAGGACAATCCGAAACCACTTTGACCCGACCCAAATCGGAAGTGGACCCCACTCAAAAAATTGCCCCAAAATAGCCATTTAATGCAATTTTTCACACATTTTTCCAACACAAAACTACTTCCTGAACAAAACAGAAAAAAAAAATTAAGGAATTAAAAACATATTTGCATATTCCAATCTAAGAACAACAAAATAAGTTCAAACAAAACAGGTAGTAACCAAGCAAATTATAGTGTAAACTTTAGTTACTCTTCGCAGATTATTTATTCAAAATTTAGCAAAACAGAATGGCCATAAGCTGTAACTAAAAACGGCAAGGAGAAGTTTGAAATGGAAAAGCAAAATTTAGCAAAACAAAATGGCCATAAGATCTGCTTTGATGTTTTACAAAAAATGTATTGCTTGTTGTTCTCTTATATTGCTTCGAACTGCGAGGGTGATTTTCTCTTCTATTGCGGCTGTGACAGGCAGAAGATGCTTGTCGATCTCCACAATTGCAGCAACAATCGCCGATCTAAATGCTCATTTTTTTGGGAAAGTATTTTTTCAGTGTAGCAACTCCGGTGTAGAGCACTCCTCTCTCCACATGGCGCCATATTTTGCAGTCAATATAAAGCAAATCGCCCATACAATATGAGCACGATCCATATATAACATGAGAGAGATAGACACAAAAATAAATGAATGATATTTCACTTTCTTTCTTTCCTTCTCTGTTTTTTTTCATGGTCTTATCTTTTTTGGTAAGTTTTTTTCCACAGTATCAACTATCAAGTACAGCGTATAGGTATAAACATTGTAGTTGATATGGTTGAGAAGAAATTACATATAAAATGTGAAGAGAAAGAGAGAAAGAAAAATCATCAACTTTTTGTGTATATTCTCTCATGCCACATGTGTAGTGTGCACATTGTTACATTAGAGATGTTCCAAAATCAATTTAGCATTCAATATCGTATCTAATTTGGAGATACAATTTGAGGGACATATTATAGATATTATGTACTACCCATTTAGTAGTATCATTTGAAGAAGAGCCTTGGCACACTGGTTAAGATGTTGCTGTGTCTGAAAGGTCATAGGTTCAAGTCTTGGGAGCCTTAACTGAGCTGCCTCTTGTCAACAAAGACAAAAGAATACTTGCCCCTTAATACACCCTTGCCTGGCACGGACGCCAATTCAATACGCATCGGGCTAACGTTTTTATTCAGTAGTATCATTTCTTAATTAAATTGTATACATTGTTATATTGTTGTTACTTGTTATATTGTTAATTATTCTCTCTTTCCTTAAGGTACTTAAGTTTTCCAAAGTCGCATTCTAAAATGTCAAATGACAGGAGGCATAATGATCGTATATTCTAGTTTAATATTTTTATATCTTACCCTAAGTAGCACGGAAATGGGAAACGGGAAACGCGAAACGGGAAACGGGAAACGCGAGAAACATAATTTCTGAAAAATATAGGACACGAAACGTGGGGGAAACACGTAAATATTATAAAATATAAGGATACATTTATAAATATATTTTTAATATATGTACATATATTTTTAATATATGTACACAAGTTTTTCCATACGCACATGTTTTTTTCCATATAATTTGATTAGTAACCAAATAATAAAATCACTCTACATGTTCGAATTCAGATATTATTTCATATTAGTACATAATTAAACATAAAATGTACGGAGTAATAAATTTCTAGCAATACATTGCGTTATGAAATGTAACAAGTGTTGCTGCTGAGAAATACCACAAAAATTCACTATTAAAATAATTATTATCCACCACAAAATCTTTAAAAAAGAAAAAAGAATTGGAACCCGAGGTTTCCGAAACGTAGTGAAACGGGTTTCCAAATTTTTCTTAATTACGGAAACGGCCCCGAAACGGGAATTTGAAGTTTCCGAGTTTCTAAAACGATTCTGAGTTTCCGAAACGTGGAAACGTGAGCCGTGGAGAGTTTCCGTGCTACTTAGATCTTACTTAGACAAATATTTTAACACAAACAAATTGAGAGTGGGTAACTAGGTCAAATAGCCACTAAATGGACTAGCCTAAAAGATAATGGGTGTCAAATTAAACAAAGAATCAAACAACAGCAAATCTGACTTTAATACCATCTTAAGATCTACAAATCTAAAATTATTTTCTAAAAGACTTACCTATTAGGAGTAGTAGGCCGTAGGTGAAATCTTATACACTGGTTTGATTGATTTATTTCTATTTATTTATAAAATGTCGGACAGGAAAAATAACCGGGTCCTTCTTACATTATCACCTTGAAACTCAATGTTCTAAAAGACGTTAGGCGTTTGTTGGATGACAGCCCAACACCTAAACTTGCATTTTGGGTGTTCGAAATTACATTAATATTAAAATTAAGAACAATAATTTATGTGATCACCAATTCTACAACTGTACCGTCTTCAATAAAAAAAATTAGTACATTTGAGTAAAAATTTATGCATAATATGGTAATATTTTAATAAAATAAAATAAATTACTACAACTATTCTATTATATTTTGTTATATGCCAAACCTGCTTAAAGGGAAAAGGTGCAAATAGGCCCATGTACTAACAAAAAAAGGTCAAATAAGCCCTTATTTAGGAGACTCTGTCCGGCCGTCATCATTTGGGGTGGTTCCCGGTGGAATTTTTTGACAATTTTTTTTTAGCATCTTATTCATCAAGTCTAGTTTACTCATACCAAATTTCAGCTAAAACTTCAATCGGGAAGGCATTCAAATGAATTCTTGAAGATAACTGCGCTTCTAACTGCGCAGTTATTTTCAAGAATTCATTTGAATGTCTTCCCGATTGAAGTTTTAGCTGAAATTTGGTATGAGTAAACTAGACTTAATGAGTAAGATGCTAAAAAAATTTCATCAAAAAAATCTACCGGGAACCACCCCAAATGACGACGGCCGGACAGAACCTCCTTAATAAGGGCTTATTTGACCTTTTTTGGTTAGTACATGGGCCTATTTGCACCTTTTCCCCTGCTTAAATAAATAGACTTTCATAAATAAAGTAGACTTTTCTTCAACACATCATTGCTATTAACACCAATTATACAATGAATTATTAACAAAATAGCCTGACATGTAAAAGAGGTGAGGTAATATATGAGGAGGTCAAATATATGAGGTGAGGTAATA